CCGGGTAGCAAAACACCTACGTATCGATGTGGAAGGGGTTGCAATGGCAGCGTGCTAGATATGATACCGTTATCGTTATCGTCCGATTTTCATTCTGAAGTGCACCTTTCCAAGCAGCCGTATCTTCTTATCTTATCGTATCGTATCTTCCATGGGGTTACGCTCGTCCAACCATTATCTATCTCAGACCTTATCGGTTGATAACGCGAGGGTAGCAGATCCACGTGGAAGCCAGCGGATCGCTTCCTCCAAGAAATTATGTAACAGCTTCACGTTAGAGCGATTGCGGTCGGCCTCATTGAGCTCGACGGTGATAGCAGGTGATGCCATATTTTAAAAACAGTTAGGTTAAGTGCCTGCTTCTGCCTAGGGGGTTACACCTAATAGAGACGAGAGCTGGATTTTTACCTAATAAAGCAATGTTGTGTGTACTAATACGCGCAATATTGGTATGTTGCACACCAGGATTCCTTTTTGAGAAGAAAGGCCCGGTGTGGTCTCCATGGTGGAAGCAGCCGTGCAAAAATTCCATTGACGATTCTCACATAAGCGATGCTTCTAGTATCCATGGCACCTTGCATACTAGACAGGCTTGTTTCTGAGCTACCTCTCTTCTTCCTTCACTTAAACCTCTTCCGATGCTGACGGTCACTCTCACTCTTCTAGCTATAGGAGTCAACGCCGGTAAGAATTTCTTCGACGTGGATTTTTTAAGTTCATTTGTCTATGCAGAGATGACGTAAGATGAAATTTCTTCAGCAGCACACATACATAGCACACATCTTCACATCTTCGATACTTCATTAGAAATGAGGTTTCCCTCTAGAAGGCTTGGTTCTAGCACATGACTGACTACTGACTCCAATCGTGTGCCGAAAGCACGCGCGACGCGTAACAAAAATTTTTCACGAACCAAGCAATCCCTAAATTAGTTTGGTGAGACATAATCAACATCTTTGAATTGAAACGTCAAAATCGCACTGAAAAAGTTGCTGAAAATGTTGGATTAGCATTGCAATCGATGCCATGACCTTGGCTCAACTGACAACTTAAACTAGCCTCTTACCCAACCCACACCAACACTTGCACAACTTCGGGTGTCCCCAAGAGGCCCATCGCGCGGCGAAGGAAGAGACGCAGATGCGGCAAAGGACGAGTCGCAGCGCGTGCTGTGCGATATGAGACGTAGTATGGTACACTCTATTTAACCTGACGCCTAACCGCTACAGTATGCGCACAGCACGCGCTGCGACTCGTCTTTTGCCGCATCTGCGTCTCTTCCCTTCGCCGCGCGATGGAGCGATGGGCCTCTTGATAGACACCCCACAACTTCACATCGACTGGCCATGATACCGATGGCGCTTTCTCCGGTTTTCGTGATGTGAACATCGTTACATACAAAAAAAGATACAGCAAAAAAACCACATCTATGATCCCTATGCCCACTCGAACATGCTGACTTCACCACACCCTAATTTCAACGCCTTCCCGCATATTTTTGGCAAGGCGGAATTGGTGTTGTGGCAAGTGGCGCTACTTACCATGAGGCTTAAAATGGGATTGCGCGTCAGTTGAACCAACAAAGCCTTCCAACCCCATTCCTCCGGGATCTGTTATTTGGTGCCAGTCTTGTTTGGAAAGACAAACTTGCGAGTAAGCTGGCCCTCAACTCACTGTTGAAGCCAAGTCGCATTCAAACACCACCTGTGGCCAGGTACAGCAAGCCTCAACTAGGGGATGGATCCCCTAACCCCTGTGCTCAACCTCGGGAATATATCCTCAGCCTCGGGAACATATGCCCTCACCCTAACTAGGGGATGAGTCCCCTCACCCTGTCCCCAACCTTGAGGATATGTCCTCCCGGGAGGAGAGAAAAGTTCATCGCGGCGCGGACGCGAGCGCGTGCAGGTGACGTCACAGCTGCGACAAAACGGCGACGAGAGGGCGAGATAAAGCGTTGCTGTCACTTCGCTTGGATGATAGAAGGGTTGCTGGCACTCACTAATTGGTGCAGTCAGTAGTGCCGTGAGCAAAGAGGTTGTATTGTGTGTAGGTACAATTTTCGCCGTCGAAAATTAGGAATTGTTTGCGAATTTAGAGGAAATGAACGGTTTCGTATTTAAAACCCAACGAGTGCGCAATTAAGTCGAAGTTGATTACAGCAACATTCTTCGTTATTACTTCTACTCACTGCACAGTGAAGTCAGAGTCGATAGTGTCTAATACGTAATGTTATAAAGTAATGGCGCCTGTCTTGCCCAATCCCTCCCCGCTGCTGTGACGTCAAATTGACGTCACCTGCACGCGCTCGCATCCGCGCCGCCGGTGAGCTATTCCATGGAGCCTGTCCTCCCCTAATAATTTGGAAAATAATGATAAAGTTATCGTACCTGAGCATGTGTACCTATCAATCGTAATTGGCAACTACAATAAATAATCGTTTCAGTTGATTCGCTCTCCTGCCACTCATGCGCCGGGGCAGCCTTTCTGCCAAAGCACGTGAGCCAAGCGATGACGGCAGCAAATATATCGACGACAACCCCTGTTAGAGGGAATTGCAAAGGAACCACGGGAAGCGATGTCTGCACAGATGGAAAATTTTGTGTAAAGAAAACCGGTGAGCACATTCCGACGCTTATTTCCCTTCCTGGAATAGTAGAACAAAATTGAAACAGACGACCTAAATGTGATTTATGGCTAAAGACCAACGGGACCATGAAATGGAAGCTAATTCGAAATCCTTCCTTGTCGAAGAGAGTTCCTTTAGTCCAGGGGAGAAAGGGAAGTTCATTTCAATCTCACCACGTCTGCACCTTTGTGAATTCGAGAGAATACCTTAGGAAGGTTCCCAAGAAAATTTTCGAGTATGGCCCTTTCCGCCAGGAAATATGTTTATAATAATTTAAACAGTCGCAGATTTGAAGATCCCATAAAACCATAAAGGTGTGCCAGGAGCCGTTCAAATAGTACCCGAAGGAACGTTACTTGAACTAAGAAAACCAGGTTCAGAAACTCACAGATCGATGACAAAAAGTCAGGACATTAGGCTTTCACTTTCCTCAAGAGCATTGTTTTTTTTTTTGCTTAATGACTACGTATTATATAAGAATGACTTGATTTCAGAAATTACCTATGAATTTTGAATTTCAAAGGGTTGAGAAAACTTTTCCTTCCCATGAAATTTTTCGAACCGAGCCATTGTGTGCAATAAATAGCGAGTGTCACATCGAAGTTTTAAACCAAAGGATTGATATCAATTACCCCACCTCCCCCCCCTAAATGCAACTCTAAGCTTAGCCGTATGAGCTGTCTTAGTGTACCGAATATGAGAATGGAATCAGATCTTCTCCGCGAAGAAGACCCACAAGGAAGAATCGATTTTAAAAAATACAGCTCCTATTTCAGTCACATACAGCATTGGCATCAAGGGTGTGTCGTTCAATTGGGACACCTACACAAAGGTAAGGATCCTGCCATGACTACAACTGCTTTGTTGAAATCAAAGTTTTCCTTTTTTAGGGATGCGCTACTGTTCGAGAAGATAACAAAGAAGTGCCCACTAATACTTGTTATGATATTTCAACTACGGATAAGGGGACATACAAGCAGGTCAGATTTATTACGTCTTCAGCATGAAAAGTGGTAAGGAAAGTTGTAGAAAAAGTCGTCATCGAAAATCCGAGCAATGATTTCGAAATGAGGAAGGTAACAAAATGGTTGTAAGAAAAGCCAGGAATCTAGCCATGGGAATCAACTTACGATTTAGGGTTAGGGCACCTTACTGCATAGGGGTATGCCCGTTGCTATACAGGCGTGTTAAATAACTATATAAGGTCACCCTAAAATATTGCATTTCCGGGACCAGCAGCCAACTGGTGATTTTTCCTATCACCAAATGATTCCCCACTACGAATAACCCCTGTATCGCAATTTTGGTGGGAGCAGCTTTTCTTCGAACTTTTTTGTAATTATTTTTCGATTTTTGCACCGTTTCATAATATAAGGTCACCCTGAGGAAAAGAACAATTACCTAAGATTAATGACAGATAAAATAGACATAATAATGTATGGTTCCTCCTTTATCAAGGGCAACATTGAATAGTCTCCGTGGCCTACCGGAATTGAGATTCCAAGGCAGATCACCATCGATTCACTTCCGTGTTCAAGGGTTGCTTGTACACGCTCTTGTGTAATTTTTAACTGGCGTTTATCCGCACTATTACTCATGACGAAGATGCCCCTGAGATGTTCTACTAGAACACGACTAGAAATTCAGAAAAATTTGTTCAGTTCATCAGGGTTTCGAGAGAAATGCTGCTTCTGGTTGAATGACCTACATGGGTACCTGTACTGTTCTGTATGACCACGTAGGCTAGCCGACTTCATCAGCTCAAGGAAGAGGTCAAATGTCCTCGCAAGGCTCTATGCTAATCTTTGGAGTCCATTATGCAGTTTATGGAAGCGAAATTTTGACGAACATCATCACAAAAAGCACCACACCTGAACTTTCTTATACCCTAAAATCCCATAGATAAGAGCGGTCCATAGATATTTTTTCAAAAATAAAATAAAAATAAAAATATTTTTTCAAAATCATTTTTTACCGGTAAATTAAACCGCTCTTATCTATGGAATTTTACTGATCGAATGGGCTCTTCAAGTTCTATCCAGAGATCAAATTCCGGCATTTCTAGAGAGATTCCGGCAGAAATTCCGTTAAAATCGCTATTTTTCTATATGAATTGTTTATTAAGTGGGCGGGGTTTAGAGTTGAGGGACGGAGCTTCTTCTAAACTTCTTCTCCGATTTTATTTATCCATCCATCAAGTTAGAGGGGTGACTGCATTCAATTTCAATTTCATTCCAATTCATTTTTCACCGGTAAATTAAACCGCTCTTATCTATGGGATTTTAGGGTAATTGCAGAGCGGCGGGTGAGTGAATCGCCACCTTCGCAAGTCACTTCAAAAGTGTTTATATTCGCAGGATCTGTTTGTATAAACCAGTTTTGTCCAAAAAATACCAACTTTACTGGAATTATCTTGCTATATGGTGCGACTGTGGAGCAGACTCAACCTTGTTCAAACTCTCTTCAAGTTCAACTTTACGGGTTGAAGTTGTGCCACTTTGCAATGGCCACTGAGCCTTCGGACCATCTTTGTTGCTTTCCTGGTAATGTTGTTGCATAATTTCACCGCACTCCAGTTCATATTTTTCAAGATAGAAACCTTAAATCAGGCACGACGCCGATTTGAAGCGGAAATACTGCACGGGACAGCCCTCATAACTCTTCTCTAATCATTTATAGAAACCATTTTGTGGATGTTCTGATATTGTAGAATATCTGGAGACGTAGGAGCTTTTCAATAATTATCCATGAGCAGTGCTAATGACTGTCCGAAGTTCTTTGGAAAGACTCGCGAACCGTGCCAAGCACCATGAAATGCATAAACTTTACCTTTTCTTCAAAAGGCGAGTACGAAACATTCCATAAATTTAGCTACTGGGTGTGTTTGTAACAAACATTCAATTTCACAGGCAGGTGGTTGGTTTCCGATAATGTAGGTCACGGGTGACCTTATATTATGAAACGGTGCAAAAATCGAAAAATAATTACAAAAAAGTTCGAAGAAAAGCTGCTCCCACCAAAATTGCGATACAGGGGTTATTCGTAGTGGGGAATCATTTGGTGATAGTGGAAAAATCACCAGTTGGCTGCTGGTCCCGGAAATGCAATATTTTAGGGTGACCTTATAGTTATGAAACGCACTGTTAAAAGTCGGTAGTGGGCGGTTTGTGTGTCTGTTTGAACTTATAGGCGCCGCCTAGTAGCCCAACGTAACGAATTGGGGCATGCCTCGGATGGGTGCTAAATTGCCCTTAAGGCGTGTTAGTTTAGAGATAGGATTTGGCTAAGAAGTGGGTACGGTAGTGGGCGGAGCCCCACCCAAGGGGCGGGCTTGCGCCAAAATCTCTGCTGAGTATCGGTTTTTTTGCATAGGGCTCAGATAAGGTTGGGAATCACAGTATTGATTGGGGGCTGTACAAAGTAGATATTTCATCGAGTCACATGCTATCGATCGAAAATATCGGTTTTCTGAAATATAACATTAACGTAACGTTCTCATCGACCGAAAGGTATTTACCTCAGCGCCTATTCCATTTGTGCCGGACACCATCCTCCTTCTTGACTAGCCTGCGCTTTTCTCCTGTCTTAGTACCTCTACGTGGCCATATAAAATCCAGAGGTATGTACTGACCTGTTTACACACATATTCCTTGGAAAAACAAAATGTCTTTGTTTAAAATGAAATTTGATTTTAAGATTGCACGACACTGCTACTGCTCGACAGAATTGTGCAATACAGCGAGCAGCTTCTTCTTCAGTGCTATCTACCTTGTAATAACCATTACCTACTTTAAATAGATGATCTATCGATTTATTGTACAATGCATACAAGTTATCACAGTACTCAGACTATAGACATTGGCAAGGTGGCATGAATTATCGTTCAGACAGTCTTGGAGGAGATTCATCTCTATCTGTGACAAGCCTAAAATTACGCATGTCTCACCGTATTTCGATTCCGTGAAGATATCCGATTGTTAATAAATAAATTTTTGATTATGAAGTTTTTATCACAACCAAAAACCTGTTGGTGCTGATTGTACTGTGTATATCAGACAGCAGTTATTACACGGTAAAGCAGCACGAAACTGTAAGAAGAAGAACGTGTGGAAGCTGGCTGACAATATAGAAATGGTAGAAGGAAATATAAAATAGGTTTTGACTTGTTTTTGTTTGTTAACTGCTGTTTTTGGCCGCAGTTCGCCTTGCGAATGTTTCACAAGAATGCTGGGTTGTGAACAAAACTTTCGCCCCAGGCGGGACTAGAACCCGCACCTCTCGCTTTCCGGGCAAGTGCGCTACCAGTTACGCTACCGGGGCACCATTTCATTCCAACTCAGCTTTCATGGTATAATTACCATAGCTTGTCAGCACTCACACGTATAACTAACTAAGTATACCATGAAAAGCGAGTTGGAGTGAAATGGTGCCGCGGTAGCGCACTTGCCCGGAAAGCGAGAGGTGCGGGTTCTAGTCCCGCCTGGGGCGAAAGTTTTGTTCACAACCCAGCATTCTTGGAAAAAATAAGTTTTTTGACCTATAAATTAACATCAAACTATTGAAGAAGTTGCTGAGCTTACCTCTCATATCTGGCCAAATTCCTTCTGATTAGCCACGAGGTCATCAGAGCAACGATGACGACCAGCACTAATGTTGTCGAGACAAGGACAAAGCACAGCAATCCGTCTGCAAATCTAGGATATATTCCCAAAGTTTGCTCACAGGACACAAAGACTGACGTAGTACACATGGGAGAGACCTTCATGAATACTTCTCCCACAATATTCGATGTTCCAGGGAAGCACATGATACCTATGATCTTATGCGAACTCTTCAAAGTCAGACTACCAACACCTCTCCTAAATGAAGGTTCTGAACTGTCCACCATCCTCCCCATCCTTCTCCATTCTCAAATCCCCAGCTCAGACTACAGTCCCATGAGTTATTTCAACGTCAGACTACCAACACCTCTCCTAAATGAAGGTTCTGAACTGTCCACCATCCTCCCCATCCTTCTCCATTCTCAAATCCCCAGCTCAGACTACAGTCCCATGAGTTATTTCCAATACTCACACAAAAGATATCAAGGTCAATGCACGTTACGAGTTCCACAGGACCCCCCTCCCCTTATTTTCATGCAGACCCTTAATCCTTTTGGAATATCATGCAGCATCAAAGATGAACTATGTTCTACCAAGTGTGCTATTTTCATCTAATAACGCATTTCATCCGCTTAAATACGAATGCTGGTTAGCGAAAAAAATCCTTATGACGCAAAGAAATGCTCACACGTGCGCATGAAGGCAGTAATTGCAATAATGATGGTGATCAAATCTAAAAGCGGAATTGCGGACTGGAACAACAGTGAGGATAAAACCTGAGTAAAGAGCCAAAAACCAAGCTAATCTCGGCAATGATCGATCTTGCGGTTTTAGGTGCAGACATGAGTCTACTTTCCCAACCACTCGGTTATCTCTGCCCTCGGCTTGGCTCCATTTTTTTAACACGTTGACGCGGTAACGGAAGCGTGACGCGGTAACGCGTCCCATTTTGCGCACCTCGTGGGACATTGTGACGCGGTAACGCGTCCCACTTTGCGCACCTCGTGGGACATTGTGACGCGGTAACGCGTCCCACCCAAGTCATCCCTTTTTCTTGCGCTTGCGCGACTTATTCCTAAGGTCTTTGTACTCATTCTATAGGCCATACATTAGCATACTTAAAAACCACATGGCTCACAGAAAGGCCAAATATTCTTTAGTTTGGCAGAGGTTTTCCAGACCTTACGGATATGTCTGTTCAGTTCATTCCTCGTTTTCTTTTCATTAACGTAAACATGTTGATAAAAAGGAATAATAGAAGCGAATACAAACCTATTCGTATGGGAAGATATGTGTTTTTACTGAAACAACCACGTCCAAATTAATTTTGGAACCACTAAAGGGAAATAAGTAAAATTTGCCTTTTCATGGCCTTAACACGTCATTTCGGTCAAACTTCCATTACTGTAACTCCCGATAAGTTAGACAGATCGAACATTATTGAAAACACTTCATCGCATCTAAGTATTGCGTATTTACAGCTCAAAATCCATGGATTTGGTGTGCGGCGGCAGCGCTCGCAAAATCGCTCTGGTCCCACGCGGCAAAAAGAACTCGATTTCGCAAAAGTGTCTTTTCAAAAATAAAGTCTTTCCAGAATTCAGATTGAGGATAATTCTGAAAGTTTTCAGTACATTCCCACAGTTTCCTTGGGGGAATAAGTTAGGAAGGGGACTCCGGATTTGGAGCACGGCCTGGCAAAATTGGATGCTCTCTTTTAAAATGTGTTCATACTAACTTGAAACAGAGAAAAACATAAAGAGCCTTTGTTAGTCACATAATCAATTTGATCACAGGAAAACGAATTATAAAGGAGTAGTATGAGGTGCTGTATCAATTTGAGACACTGGGAAGCCGTACTTCTCTAAACAAATGAGCATGAAAATTTTTGGCTTCTCAAATCTAGAAAATGTTCATGTCAGTCAAAAAAAAATCAAATTTCATGTTGATGTTCGTCGTGATCACATTTAATACTTTTCAACTCCAATAATTATTCAGAAACTCTCTGAAGTACGAGTTGTTGAAGAGTTTACGTTACGATTGAACGTAGTGTAGTTACATTTCAACTTTAGTTACCCCATGCGAAAAAATTTCTGAGGAACACAGGCCTCACAAAAACGATAAATCGATCGACGCTTCAGAAGGCCTTGATTTTTTACACATTTCTGGCCTACATCGCGATAGCCTCCTTAAAAATGTAAGAATACTGCTACGCGTTCCGCCCTGACCTCCCTCCTCTCCTCCCGATTGCGAGTCCACCTCATTCCTTCTGCAGTTGGTTAATTATCAATAGATGGTTGACTGTAATTTCCGCCACCCTTGCTCGCCACCCTTGCTGCGATTTAGGCTCAGACTTTCACAGCGCCTTGGAATTTCCGTGTTCATTTACGCTCCAAATGAATTTCCAAATTCTATTGCAGGTATTCGGGCGGAAGTGGTGTAGTGACAAGTGGCGCGCTTACCACGCGAGCGGTCCGGGGATCAAATCCTGGGTCGTGAGTCGCCCGGGCCAACCAAGCCTTCCATCCCTCCGGGGTCGGTTAATTGGTACCAGACTTGTCTGGGAGGATAAAAACACTGACTTGTACATCGGCTGGCCCCCGCAAGTCATTGTATAGGCCACATCGCATTCAAACGCCACTACGAATGTACAAATGGAAGTAGAATGCGTGCCGCATCCCAAAAAGGGATTGATCAACGGCAAATGCTTTATCCTTTATCCTTTATTGCAGGTATTCAACAAAAATTCATTAGCTAAATGTCGTCTGATAAGCACGAAGGATTGAGCTTTCAGCATTGATCGATCTCTTACTGGGATGCGCTATGGATTCCGATTTCATTCAAAATCGTAGTGGCATTTGAGTGCGATCTAGAAGACGTTCGATCCAGAAATGGCTCCCCGCTGTGTCGCAAGTAGTAGAGTTCAAGACAAAACACAGCATTGCTTCCTGGAGATATCAGCTCAGCAGCCCTTTTTCTGCAATTGTAAGCTGATAGAGTTTAACCCTCAAACTACGATTTTTTAAAAATTATATTATTGATGTGTTCTGTGTAGTACCTATCCCTCCTAGCAACAAAAAATCATCTATTGAAATTTGGCTGATATAGGTTGGATATGACCTGAAATTTGATGCAGGGACCACACAAAATCATCTCCATCAAAATCATCTCAAATGAGAACCCATCACTCA